TGAACAAACACAATCGTCTAAGTATTCAGTCAAATTCTGTTGAATTTTGGGAAATTTTCTTCTGAATTTCCTTAGTTTTTAAATAAGTTTGTCTTACATAGTATGAAATACAAGAACGTCCAAAGTTTTCCTCTTCAGACTGCTGAGAAAAGTAGGTCGCTACTGAGTTTTACACCTACTCTTTTCTTTTCAAATTGAAAATTCTCTAATGAATTTTCTTGTTTGTATCCATTCTCATCTTAGGTAATTGGCTTCAAGAAACTGATTATCAAATGATTGAAGAACAACTTCAACCAAATTCTGCTAGTGGTTCAGGTGCACTTGAACATGATGAAACATTTCTCTATCGTCGAGATACATCATTAACATCATTTAATATAATAAATTATCTTTTTCGTTCATCACCAACAGCAGATAATAATTCAAGCAATGCATATTATTCTCGTCCAGCTGAATTAAATATTCCTGGTCCATTACCATTAGGTGTAGCAGTTATTGATGCATCAATTCTTCTCTATGGTACAATGTTTGTACGTGTACCAAATAAACATCGTTTAAATATGTTACAACATTTTATTGATATAATTAAACAATCAAAAAGTGCACGACAAGAATCTGTACAAGTTAATATATTTACAGCTGTTTTAACAGCATTAAAAACAATAGCTGAAACAAAACAATCATCATCAATGGATGATGAAAATGTTAAAAAATGTGCATGTACACTTGTTATGCAAACATTAAGTCATCAAAATCCAATATTACGTTGTGCAGCTGGTGAAGCACTTGGTCGTTTAACACATGTTGTTAGTGATGGACGTTTTGTTGCTGATATAGCACAAATATGTTTTGATCGTCTTAAAGAATTTCGTGATGTACCATCACGTACAGGTTATTCATTAGCACTTGGTTGTTTACATCGTTATGTTGGTGGTATGAGTACAGGACAATATTTAAATTTATCTATATCAATACTTCTTGCACTTGCACAAGATCAAACAGCATCTATTGTTCAAGTATGGGCATTACATGCATTAGCATTAATTGCTGATTGTGGTGGACAAATGTTTCGTTCATATGTTGAACCAAGTTTAGCACTTATATTACATCTTCTTCTATCAATACCACCATCACAATCGGATGTATTTCAATGTTGTGGTCGTTTACTTGGTGCATTAATTATAACAATTGGTCCTGAACTACAAACAAATACAAATTATATATCAATATTACGTTCATCATGTTTAACAGCAAGTAGTCTTTTACAAATGCATATTGAACCAATTGTTCAAGCTGAAGCTATTCAAGCATTACAACAATTACATTTATTTGCACCACGTCATGTTAATTTATCAAATTTAGTACCTGAATTAATTAAAGCATTAAAATGTCGAGATTTATCATTAAGACGTGCATGTGTTTCATGTTTAAGACAATTATCACAACGTGAAGCAAAAGAAGTTAGTGAACATGCTAAATTATTTATGAAAGATAAAGCACAAGATTTAACAATTGGACTTTCAGAATTTCGAAGTCTTGAAGGTTAAATTCTTATTTGATTTATATATTATCTATAAATATTCTTTGTATGTTTAGAATTACTTTTTTCTATGCTTGATACAGAAACAGATACAAAATTATGTTCGAACGTACAAGATACACTTGTTTATATGCTTCAAGCATTAGGTGCAAATAATTTAACACATTGGTTACAATTATGTAAAGATGTTCTTGCTGCTACAACAGGTAATTAGTTATTTAATCAAACTAAATAATTAGTAAAGTTTCTGCAACTTGAATTACAGAACTGACAGTGAAGACACATTGTAATAGATCATAATTCCTCTTCAACCCAAGCGAACGCCGTCAGACGTGTCTCATTAATCTGGATTTCTAAAGTAGTAAATAGACTAAACATCTCACATGTCTAACTCTAAGAATGATTGAGATTGCAGGGTAAGATATTTACAATCAATAGTTTGCCACATGAAACATGATCTAAATATCATGGGATTAGTATGACAGTTGTCCTTGGCTATTCTTTTATATTAACTGCAATAGATTATGATTAATATCTTTCATCATTGACATACATTAACAATAGGTAGGAATTCATAAATCGAAACATATATTGATTAATCCTATCTTCTAAAACATCACTACGCTGTATCTATGTGACAATTTCTTTAGTCAAGAATAAAAAATATATCAACTCGATTGATTATACAGTAGACTTGAAGTATCGAATTTTTCATATTATCTTGTTATTTATGAGTTTTTCTGTATATTTTATTTTAAACTATATAAAATAATCATTTTCTATATTTATGTTATCTAGAAACATCTGGTATGGGAACATCTTCTGAAACCGATCATCATCATCAACAACAACAACAACAAACTTCTGGTTCAACAACAACATCATCATATTCGAAAACTTCTTCACGTCTTACAGCTGATGATGATGAAGATAGTTTTGGTCTTCATGATGATGATAATGATTATGCTGATACAGGTGGTGATGAACAATTACAGACATCTAATAATCAAAATACAATACGTCGTGCAACATCATCAGCTAAATGGCCAACAAAAGTATTTGCAGCTGATTGTGTACAAAAATTAATAAATTATTGTGAACAAACATCATTAGCAAATTTACATTTTGATTATATATCAGCTAAAGAACGTCTTCGTACATATCCAAATGAAGATTATCTTGTTATACATTTAAATACATTAATTACATTTTCATTTATGTCATGTACATCAACAAGTGATCAATTACGTTTATCTGGTTTATCATTACTTAAACAAGTAATATTAAAATTTGCACATATTCAAGAAGATATTGATTTACCAGGTCATGTTATCCTTGAACAATATCAAGCACAAGTTGGTGCTGCTTTACGACCAGCTTTTTCACAAGATACATCATCACATGTAACAGCACAAGCATGTGATGTATGTAGTACATGGATATCAAGTGGTGTTGCACATGATTTAAATGATTTACGACGTGTACATCAATTACTTGTATCATCCTTACAAAAATTTACATCAATACAACAACATAAAAATGATACATCAATGATTTATAGTGAAAATGCTTTAACAATTGAAAATTTAGCTGTTTTACGTGCATGGGCTGATGTTTATAATGTTGCAACTATACGGCAAAATGAAGAAAAAAATAATCCAAATAGTAATTTATTAATACTTGTACAACCGGAATTAAATGTTCTTATACATCATTGGCTAGCTGCATTAAGTGATTATGCTTTTTTAATATTACCAAATGAATTTGGTGGTGGTGGTGGTGGTAGTATTGATGAAAATTCTCATGGAGGAAATTTTTATTCAGCTGAATCAAATATTGATTTAACACGTACAATTTATAAAGCTAATTGGTCATCAATTATGCAAGCAACAACATTATGGCTTAGTGAACATCATTATGAACTTGAAACATTAGCTGCCAATCAAAAACATATTGGATATAGACAACGTGATATATTAATGACAAAATTTATAACATCAACATTATCAAATAAAATACGAACATTTCCAGAAAAAAAAGAAGATATTTTTGCAATGTTATTAGGTTGTTGTATTGAAGCACTTTCAATATCAATTTCAGAACAAACAGAATTAAATATTGAATCGATTTTATCTTCATTAATGAATTTACTTCAATCAGATATAGCTACAAATCAGATAACAATGCTTGTGTGTATTGAAATACTCAATGTTTTACAGCGGTAATTAAAATTAATTCTTACATTCAACTACTAGTTAAGTTTTCTTATACATAGAGTAAGACATAAAGAAATAGTTTTGCAATAGAGGATCAGTATTGAGCTCAAGATCGATCTTTGGATCTGTTAGTTCATCTATCGAAATAATCATAAAAGAGATTTGGCTATGAGCCATAAATAGAGTGTGTTTGGATTGGTCGAGAATCCGTATCTGTTCAGATTCGAAATCGACCCAATATGTCATACTCTATCAGCAGCAACAGATAAGATCATCGTCAAGATTGTTTGAAAAATATGTAGGATGAGTTCGATGAAGAATACAAATAATTTAATAAGTATCTTGCATCTTTGAAGCGACTATCAAACTTAGACTAGGGTTCAGGTGGAAGTATTTTAAACTCAATAGGCTTTATCTGTGAATGAAAACAACGTATCATAATACATCTAATCATCGAACTCATTTTTAAATGACTTCGACCATGTTTATAAACTCCATTGACAAATATTAATACAATATTTCATCCAAGGTTTTTGTTCGTACGATGATAACCGATGGCACTTGGCAATCGGTTAGATTTTGTAGATTTAATTTAAGAAAAAATTCAAACAATTATCACAATTACTTTTTTTTTTTTTATAATCCAAATATATTTTTTTTCTTTCATTTTAGTCTTCATTTTGTTCGTACTGATTTAAAAACTCATTTACATATATTAAAAATTGTTGATAAAATTTTTCATATTGTTCCATCATTTTCACAAATAACAACAAATGTAAATGAAGATCATCTTGTACCAGGCGAATCATTTTTATTTGCATCATTAGAATTACTTGTTTGTGTTCTATTAAGTTATTATCCAAATATAGCTGGTGATTTACAATTAGGTCCAATATTTCAAATGAAATTATCTATAAAAGCAAATTTAGATAATCAAAAAACTAATGAATTAATTTTATTAAATGTTAAACTTCTTAGTGAACTTATTACATTATGTACAACAGATGATAGTAAATATTAATACATATTCATAAAAAAGAAAAAAAAATAATTATATTAATTTTTAGGTCTTCAAGCATTAATACCAGTCATTCTTCATTTATTATTATCAATAAGTTTTGTACTTCTTTCAATAAAAACTGATGATCAAAAACAGTTATTATCAACTATAATTCAATTTATTGAAAATATTTTTTCTACAAAAATTGATAAAGATATTTTATGTTGTACAATGATTACGATTATTAATTTAAGAACAAATTGTAAGCAAATTACAAAAACCAAAACATATTTTGCACTACTAGCCGTGAAAGTATTCTCCTCTCCTTCTTAGATTTCAGTCACTACAATAGTTGTGACTTTAAAAAACTTGCATGTAAATAGTTATCAATTAAAAGTAGGTCAATAACAAAATCAGCATCGCAATTGAGTAATAAGTGCATGCGATCTGTCTCCCTTGTGAATTTCATAATTAAGAAAGGAAACGACTTAACGAATTGAGAATCGCTTCATTGAGTCGTTGTGGAGCGAGGATTATTTTACTTTAAGTATCGATATACGGAAAAACATGATCAGATTGTTATTCTATAAGCCACAACTCTCCTATACATATATCACTGACGAGAGACAAATTTTGCATAAATAAGTAGCACAAACATTTCTATTTGAAAGTGTTTCGAAATTCACCAAGTATCATGGTAAACAAGAGATATAAACTTCACTATTAAATTTTTTTTATCCTTATGAATAATTTTTATCGTTTTGTTTTTAAATATTTCAAAGAAAAATATTTTAAGATAATGTCCGGCTTGCATAGAAAAATCGAACGGTATTTATCTATTTACTTAAAAACTGTGAAGAGTCTTTATGATGATGCGCGACCATAATGAATGTGAAAAGAATATCAATTTTCATTCTCATTCACTTTTTCCCTCAATTTAGTCGTAATGATAAAAAGACTCACTAGGGAAGTTTATGTTTTGTTTTTCATGATACTCGATGAATCTTGTAACTTTTTCTTATAGAAATCATTATCTCTATATTTACTCTAGCGCTATTTGTCTCTAGTAAGTGACATATGTTAGAAAACTTTAGAGAACAATTGACAATCTGACTGTTTGTTCTGTACATCGATACTTAAAGTAAAGAGGTCCTGGCTCCACAACAACTTATTGAATATCAATAATATTTTCACCATATATAATCAAAGTATAAGGCTACAAAACGACAGTATTCTCGACTCATTAAGTATTTTCTTTCCTAATTTATGAAGTGCATAATGCTGACGAGACAACATTCATTATTACTCTGTTGCATTTTATGTTATCATAATGCTATTTTTGTTGCTAAACTAGGGGCATCAATAAGTATATATATATATATACTCAAGCCACATTTTTAGTCGTGATTGAGATTCAAGAGGAAAAAGAGAAATATTTCTGGCTATTAGTATATATATTTTTGAATTAATTTTTTTCTCCGATTTTAGTGACAAATAAAGGTATTTCTGACAATGGACATTTTATTCAATGTCTTACATCATTAATTATTAATTCAACATCAATTGATTTAACAGATCAATGCATAGATTTTTATCGACAAGCATTTAATGATGAAAAACATGAAGTAAAACAATGAAAATTATTTAATAAATTCTAAAAATTATTTCATGTTCTTTTTTTTTTCCCTAATAATTCAGACTCGTGTTCGTTTATTTCAATGTATTAATCAATTATTTCAATGTACAACTATTGCAATACGTAATCAATTTATACAAATATTCACACCATTATTATTAAATGAATTAAAAAAATATACTGAAGATCAACAACAAGAATATATGATTGAAATTTTAAAATGTTTTGAAACACTTTTAACTATCGTTGACTCAACATTACGTACATAGAATTTTGTTTTTAATACTAAAATACAGCTAGAGGAGAATAAAGTAGTGAGCGGATTCTTAAGTATTCAGTTTGTGGTTTATTTAGTCGACGAATGTCGTTTAGTTTATCATCTCTATTGAATTATTATTTACAAGATGCTCCACCCGAAGTCATAGGACTTTCAATAATAACCTTTAGTGTTGGATAGCTCGTAAATTGATAATAAATGTGCGTAGAAAACTAACATGAAAACGAATCGATTCCATCTCTGAAGTGTTGAAAGCTATTTATGAAAACATTCTAAATGCGCATTACAAGCTTAACATCTGATACTTTTTTTCATTATAAGTTATTTGTTATCTCCTGATAATCTATGACAGAGATTGTCTTACAAGGGAACCGACTGAACTGTAGTTCGTCATTTTAGGTCATATTTGACCTACAAAAAAGTCTTGATAGGACTAGGACAAGTCCAAAAAGGTCAACTTTAAATATGTATTGAAAAATCAAATTAAAAATTCAATATCTCAACAAAGGAATAGTCTTTTCTATAAGAACAAACGTTTTATATTATATCATTATTGTTCATTGATTTAAATTTGACAAAAAATATTTTTTTTCTATGATGAGAATAAAACAATATATCATTTTATGTTTTTAGGCATACGTTTGGCATCCTTAATCATTCCATTATTTATTAATTTTCTTCCTGATTCCACAATATCTTTACAAAAAGTAAATTATTTAAATGCACGTTTAATATCATATATAATCGATCGTATACAATATTTAATTCCAATATATTCAAATGAATTTCGTATTATTCTTCAAACTTTACCTGATCTTCGAACAAAACTTGAAAATGCTATTCGTCGACAACAACAACTTAAACAACTTCAACAACAACAAAAGGATGAAAAAGAATCAAATTATTTATCAAAACATTATAATTCATCTATGAACACATCATCACAAGTACCTTCACTTCCTCTTCGTATTGATTTTTCAAATTTTAAATCATCATAAATATATATTAATGAATTTTTCAAATCTCAGTATCGAACTAAATATAATATATATACATATGTATATCTAGTCGATAACTATCTTCTATTGAACAGTGACATGATTATAATATCTCATGTGCATATTTTTTTTTTCTTATGTAGCTTTATTTTATTCTGAATATCACTTTTTTTTTTTTTTCTTTTACTGTCATACAAAAACAATGATTGATCTGAACAATTTAATCAAAAATTGATTTATTTAGCAATAATCACAAACAAATTTGTTTAGATGATATCTTGTTTTTTTTTTTCCTCTAAATTCTTTGTATATATGGAGTCAAATAGAGCGAATAACAGAAAGTAAGACAAAAAAAAAAAAAAAAAGAAAAACTTCAATGAATTGTTAATATACAATAGTTGATACAAATATCAGTAATATGATAAGAACCTAATGTATAAGTATTATTTCATATTCACTTCTTGTAAGATCGATAGGACATTATTGGATAATAACCAAGAACTTGTTTTCCTTGATTATGATCCTAAAATAGAAAGAAAAATTTCTATTAGGCATTTTATTCAATTCAAATCATTACAAAATTTACACTACAGGTGAAAAGGATAATGTTACGACATTCTACTTCATCAAATGATTGAATTGTTTTTAAAAACAAATCTGATCGTATTAGGTAGGTCTTATTGAGGATTAGACATAGTCTAAAACGATTTGTACTTAGAAGTCTTTGTTCTTGAGTTATGATCATTTTAGTGAATTTTTTCTATGTAAGGATGTATTGATTTTCGGATTACCTTCAAGTTGAAAATTTGTATAAATAAAGTCTTGAGTGAGATAAACTTATTGTGGTGTCAGATTTTTTTTTAAGTATTTCGTATTCTCTTATATTTCTATAAGAACAAAGTTTGCCTTTTGACATAAAAGAATTATCAATATTGACATATGAAAATAAGAGATATGAGGAAATTTGATACTTCACTATGACATAGTTTGAATAAGATTTATTATTTCAAAAGTAATTTATCAATTTGCAAAAATTTTCTCTATCAAATATACTCAAACTGGTCTGAGTTTCGCGATCGGACGAATTGATACGAATATTTCTATATTTTGAATGGATAGTGTTGCTACAAAATGTTCTAAAGTCATAAAGATTTATTTTATACTCTAATTTAGATCAATCTATCTCATATTATTTAAAATATTTTATTAATAATTATAGTTGTAAATTCATTACTTTGTTCATTATTGATGGAGCATGACCATTATTAGTAGGATAATGTGAAAATGCAGAAGCACCTGATACAGGAGGTAGAAAAGGTTTCGGACTATTTTTGGTTGTTTGTCGATGTTTTCGTGTTTGATAATGTAAAACATTTGTTCCTATTGTTGATAAACTACTATAAAAAGATTGTGTTTGATTATGTTGAGAAAAACTATTTTTAGTTTTTATATTATTAGGATGTTGCGTAGATGATTTTTTTATTGATTGTCCTTGAAGTCGTGTATCTATTAATGATTGAGCTTTTGTTGGTGGATAAAGAAGCTATAAGAGAAAGCACGAAAAAAAAAAAACAAATAACACTAAATTTAAATTTAATTCAATAAATACTCTATTAAAATCAGGTTTGATTACTGAATTATGACTGATAGTAGAAGGATTATGAACATTATATCCTGGTGATGAATTTTCTTCATTAATTGTTGATTTACTACTACTTGAATCCGATCGTTGATATTGATCTTCACTTGTTTTTACTATTCGTGTAACATTTTCCCATTGATTTATACCATGTTCTTGCATTTGTTCATTTTCTTGATTTCTATTTATTAATATTGATTTATTTTTATTTTGAATTAGTTTTATAATTACCTAACAGTATCAAAATAAGGATGTCGAAGTGCTTGTAATGCTGATATACGATGATCGGGATCATAAATGCATAAATGATTAATTAGATCAATCGTATCTGCTGAACAATGAGTAAGATGACGAGCAATACCAGTACCACGTCGAGGAGGAAAATTAAAATCAACTGCTGAATTTCGACTAAAATACGAAATATTTAAGAATAAAAATAATACTCGAAAAATTAAGTAAGAAAGATTTTCGAAATAAATATATAAATCAAAAAAAAAAAATATTATTATTTTCAAAGTTGATGTTAAAACAATTCATGTCGTCAGTTTTTCATCAAAACAAACAGTTCGTTCGGTGTATTGCTATTTTTTTTAATCAACCTTGATTAAGTCTTCTAAGTACCTATATCAATGATTTTTGACGTCCGGAGCCATGAATTACCGGCACTTTCGCACGGGAAAGATGCCATTTCCGACCGGAAAACTCACGAAAATGATAAGAAATTCTAAGCAGAAATCCGCTAGCTAAATTTTTCTAGTTCTGATCAGTGCCGACGACCTAATTGTTGCTTTCAAGTTTTTATCATTTTCTCGAATTTTTCGACCCTTATTTCTTGACTTGAACAATGACTATCAATATGGTGCTATCTTTTATAAATAATCAAACTCGAAAACAATTATATATAGCTTGAGCATCGTCACATAAATCGAAAGACACAATATTGACTGAAATCTAAAATTTTTCTAAGACATTAAAAGTTTTCATATAGTTCAACATCGAGAAAAACTACAGTTAACTTTGCAATTGATCGGAGGGTAAATGTTGGTTTTTGCAACATGTCAATAATCGAAAAACTTTATTTTAATCTTCTGCCGAGTATTTTCTTCTTATAGAACGAAAAATAAACGATAAGAATCATATTGAATATTAGAAAATATCCACTTCTCATAAAAATCCAATAATTGAAAAATAACTTACTGTTGAAATTTTTCGAGTGTACTAGGTGATGGTGTACCGACTACATCATGAATTTTACTTATTTGATCAAGTTCATTACTGCCGGGAAATAATGGTCTAAGTGTAATGATTTCAAACATAACACAACCTTTGAAAGAAATTTATATTTTCTATATATAATAATAATTATCTATTTACCAGCAGACCAAATATCCATTTCATGTCGATAATATCCATCTGTTAGCAAACATTCAGGTGCTCGATACCTGTATTAAATATAATAATAAAATATGATATAATCAAAATTAAGATTCTGTTTTTTTTGACCAGATTGTTTTCAAACAAAATTAGAAATCTAGTTTTCTTCGAACGTAATTAAAATTGAACTAGAAGTAAATTAAATCAGAGTTTATTATTATCATACGATTCTAGTTTAGAATAATAATGTGCATATAGTGTAAATTCTAGTGGATCTCATCAATATTTGAATAGAAAAATGTTATTTTGAGTAGAGTTGGCGTTTATCAGGTTTAAAAAATCCTATTTAATACAGATGATTTCAATATGCTGCATAACACGTATTTGTAAATATATCTGTAAACCTATCTACTTTTTTTTTTGTAACAAGATATAGAAGCATGTGTTTCATCTCATTAGAATCATCAGATCATGAGCTACGAAAGTATCCACATACTTTTCTTGTTCAGAAAATTAAATGTTTTTCTTTATTCATTTACGAATTTAGATAAAAAACAGCTTATAAAATTTAAAAAAATTCTTTTTTTTTTTTTTCTTTGTTATTCAGACTCTAACTGTTATTAACTTGATCAATTTACTTCTTGTTAAATTTTAATATTTATCATAAGAAATATTTTGTTTATCTTACCATCGAGTTGAAATATATTCAGTAAATGGTTGTTTTGATAAAGTTTGTCGACAAGATCCAAAATCAGCTAATTTTAACATATCATCTTTTATAAGAATGTTTTCGGGTTTAACCTAGTAATAATATCAATTTATATTATCTGTTGTCTTTTTTTTTTTAAAGCTTACATCTCGATGGAAGAATGCATGTCTAAAAGGAACAAAAAAAGAAATTTTATTTTTAAATAATATTATAGAATAGTAGCTAAAAGGTACCTAAACCAATTCAAGATCGATCGATCTTAATATATTAGATTTAAAAAAAAAACACTATTGCTTTTCTTGGGCATCAAAAACAAAAAAAGACTTTTTTCACACTTCAAGTTTGCTATTGTTTTGAAATGTTGTTATTCTTTCTTTTGTTGACAAATAAAACCCCACATGTATTTATTGTGTTACATATAGAAGACTTCATTCTATTATCAGTCTAAGGTGCAGTGACGATCCACTTCGTACAGATCTCCGTTCCGCCAATGGCTATCATTATGAAGAATCCAAGAGAATATTAATTAAAACAGAAAATACATTGAAGAAAATCCTAAAGCAAATAGTTGGGATTAAAAGTCAACTTTTTGGTGAATATCATCAACTCTGATGCTAAGAATACCTAAAGATAAATTCATAAATCTAGCAAATTAAAATCATTTGATATGACATTTTCATTAGCGATAGAGACAATATTGAGCTCTCAAATGAAGAGTCAAACACTGTGAGGTCTGTTGCTAATGTCGAAATATCCTTGTCTGAATAAAAATAAATCTATGTTGATCTTCGCATGAAAACTAATCAAGTTTTGATTGTTACTTGAGATTAAGGTTCATCTAAGTCTCTTTGTAGAGAAAATACGAGTTCAACGGATTCATAATTAGATAGTTTTTACTTAATAGCACTATTATTGACGAATGTCGTAGATGCTACTTTATATGAAATACCTGTGAATAAATTCAAGAGCTTTGAGCAATTGATACATAAATTTGCATACGATTTCACTTGATAATAATCGTTGTCGACCACGAATATATTCATATAAATTCATATTCATTAATTCAAATATTAAACATAAAACACCAGTTCGTTTATCACTAGAATTATATGAATTTAAATTTATATATTTAACAATAACAAAAAAACATTTACAAGATAATTTCACGAAGAAAAATAATATTGGGATGACCATTAAGTTGTTTGAGCACTCGTATTTCACGTATTTGATGAATTTCATCCATACTAAAAATTATAATAGATTTAGAAAAATACAAAGAAAATCTTTTCATAAAACTTCATACAATTATAATGATATATATTTAGATAAAGGAATCATGTCTATTGAAAATATACGATATATTAAATAGTGATCAGTGTAGAGAATTTTATTTTCGAAGATGAAAATGATTGTTAGTTGTACAATGACAGGATCTCTGAAAAAGCGAAAACTAAATTTTTCATTTTTTTGAAAATTCTGTTTGAATTCCATAGAATAATAGAGCAAACAATTTTCTACAAAAATGACACGTCTCCCGGTGCTCTACAACGGCAAAAATCGTTTTCTCTGTTATGACGTATGAAAACATCATTTTTGTGCTTTTCGTACGATTGATGTATCTTGATCAAAAACCAGCGTAGAAAGCTGTAGGACATTTCATTTTGTAATGAATCGTTTCTTATATCATTCTGCATAGTTCAAATAGAGTTCCATTTGCAAATTCTAGGAGCTAAAAAGAAAAACAACTTGGTTTTGGATTTTTCAGAGACACTATCCTTCGAAACCGATTAATAATTGTCATCTTTCAAAATGAAATTCTCTATGAAAATCAGTACTTCGATCCTTATTAACAATTAAGACAGTGAAAAAATTGAAAATGAGTCTATATGGATAATTTTGAGAGCCACTGTATATATAAATAGAAAAAAAAAATTTCTTTTCTATTGTTGTAGATCAATGTAACCTTGTCTTCCCGATTCTTTTATTTTATTTGCGTGTTATTTACATACATAAATACATTACCAAAGATTACAGAAAGACTTGTGAGACATGCCAATGGGCGTAAGACGTAGTATTTTTCCTTAGGCGTAGGTGTTACTCATAAGAATTATAGACTAGTCAAGTTAGTTATTTTCTATTTTGCTTTTATTAATTATGGATATATATATAAATAATTAAATAAATTCTTGAAATATGAAGCAGATAAAAACTACAAACAAAAAAAGAAATCATTTATATAAACTTTCTTACTTTTTATATAATTGTTTCATTTTTTTTGCTGCCCAAAATGTTCCATCACGTACATTTTGACATTTTAATACTTCCGAAAAAGTACCTTCACCTTTTTTACCAAGTACTCGATATTCTAAGATATAAATAAAATACGAATAAATTTTCCTCTTTTTCTATTTCTATATTCTTACTTTCCATTGAAATAAATCAATATTAATCACCGGTAATTAATAAAAGTAAAACATCCGACTAAAATATTTCTATACATGATCTAAAAGAAGAAGAAGAAGAAGAAAAAATAACATTTCAGAAAAACAACAAATGATTCTTTTCGATATGTCTGTTTTCATTGTTAATGTTACAGCGCTTGAAGCAGTATAAATGCCGCATTCGTCCATCGTATGTTTTCATTGTCAATCAAGATACAAAAAAAGAAACTTTCGTTTTTTTTTTTTTTATTTCAACATAGAAAAAACATATTCGAACACATTACTTATATAAACATAATAAGAAATTATTTTTCATTTTATAGACATACGTATAATAATTAAATGATATATTCATCGCGTTGATTTCTATGCTTTTTTTTTCGTTAAATCTCTTTACTATTTTTAAGTAGACTGTCAAAAAGGATTTGAACAACTTAAAAGTATTTATCGACTTACAAGAAAAGAGACTATGAGAAAGAGAAAGAGACAGAGAAGAGAAACACTCATAGAGTTTTGTAGTATTTGTTCATTCTTTGTTTTTTTCAATCATGCATTGTGTTATTACCTTAGTAACGACAGTTCTCGCTATATATTTTACCATAATGCATAGATGTTATATATTTTAAATGAATGAGGGTTGTTGCTTTAGGTAGACATATTTTTATGGTATTGATATCAAATATTAAAAATAATATTCTATAAAAATTATGTCACGACGAAATCAAATTAATGAAAGAAATGATGATGATGATGATGATGATAAAAAGTAACATTTTGGTTATTTAAAATAAACTAATTTTTTTATTATTTATGTTCTTCAGACATGATGAAGATTTTTTTGGTGGACATAAAAGACAAGAAATAGATCTAAGGTGAATAGAATATTTTCCATAAATATATATATATACGTCTTAGACAAAATAAAATCTAGACAGAGATTCGTTTTTTATTAAGGGACTCTCCCCCCCCCCCCCCCCCCCCCCCCCTTTCTTTTTTTTTCGGGCCCGCTTGTGTTAGATTTTCTTGGGGGAACGTGGTTGGTGTTACCCG